AACGCACCCCCATCGAAACTCCTTCCTCTTCGCCCCGCCGTTCTGCTTCGCCCCGCCCGTTCTGCTTCGCCCCGCAAAAATCTGCTTCGCCCCCGTCGTTCCTCTACGCCCCCGGCGCAATTCTGCTTTGCCCCCGTCCTTCTGCTTAGCCCCCAATGGCGGCACAGCTCACAGTCGACACGAAAATCGTCTGCAAAATAACAAGAAAGGCTGTGCCGCCAAATTTAAAGTAGCCCATGCTCCGGCAAACATTCTGGACCACCTTTCTGCCAAGTGGCGTTGCACAAATCCTTCCCATTCAAAAGTTTACCCCTGCCTCACGGCCCGTCAGTGGTTCTTACGTTTATAAGTACTGGCGGGAAATTTCACTCACGGCTGTACTTATAAACGCCAGTACTTATAAACGTAAGAACCAATGACGGGCCGTGAGTTAGGGGTAAACTTTTGAATGGGAAGGATTTGTGCAACGCCACTTGGCAGAAAGGTGGTCCAGAATGTTTGCCGGAGCATGGGCTACTTTAAATTTGGCGGCACAGCCTTTATTGTTATTTTGCAGACGATTTTCGTGTCGACTGTGAGCTGTGCCGCCATTGGGGGCTAAGCAGAAGGACGGGGGCAAAGCAGAATTGCGCCGGGGGCGTAGAGGAACGACGGGGGCGAAGCAGATTTTTTGCGGGGGCGAAGCAGAACGGGGCGGGGGCGAAGCAGAACGGCGGGGGCGAAGAGGAAGGAGTTTCATGGGGGTGCCCCTGGAGTCAGAGTGTCTGTACTTATGAACTGGTGGCTAAATTGGACCCATGTGCTTATTGGATATCATTTTTTCCAGCAGCTGGTATATTAATCTCTACCACTCTTCTCCTACACACTCAACACAAATTGTTCGTTTATCTGTTAAACTTTATATTTTGTGGATACTGACGCCTGAAAGTAGCACACCCCTCAAGATGGTACGGTCCTCACTTTAGGTCACTGGCCAGGGTGTCTACGCTAGACTAAATTGAGCCCCAACATGTAAACCATGGTTATAAATGTAGCTCTAGACAAGGACCCTTCAGCAAAAACCTGCTCGGCAACATTCTCGTCATCAGTTGACCCAATGGACTGGCCCATTTTTCTTGCAGGCGAAACGGAAACAAACTTCTTTACAAAATTTTCAGCACATCAAACTCCATTGCAAATAGAATATTGGCCAGAGGGCAGTATTGACATTTTGCTTTCAAAACAAAAGAAAATATAGGCTCTCAAATTATAATAAGCATTATTTTCAGCAGAAGTCCCCCCTTCTTGTAGAGTGGAATGGTCTAACTGACTATGCTTTAATTGGTACACAAAGGATTCTTGACACAAGATAGTGCTAAGTTTACTGACCTGTCCCCATTCTTTCTCGGTTATGGGTATGTCATAACTAAGGTTCTTCACATACTGACTGCTGTTTGTATTTTCTCCCTTTTGTCAAGGTTGGCAACAGCTGGGGTTGGTGTGCTGGATGTTTTTTTTTTGGTGGATAATTAAGTTTTATTGTATGTGTTTTGGTTATTACAGAGCCAGAGAAGTAGGAAGAACATCATGTCTATTCTGGGGTCGTCCCAAGACGTGGGGCCTCTGAGTCCGAGGGAGGGCTCGGATCGTAGCAGAACTGGCGGCAGGTTTAGCGCACTCTTCAACCCAGGAGCTCCCGTTGCAAACGTAAGTTTGAACCCAAATTTTTCATAAATTGTTGCATGATAAAGATAGCATCCTCTGCCTGTCAAATCAGCTTGTCAGTGTTGAAATCCAAGATAAGTAAGTGTGTAAAATATAGTTTATCATGGCTGTAATGCTCTTTATAGGATTGAATAACTATTAGTTACTAGTTAGCTTCAGTGTTTTAGACATACAAACTATCGCAAGCCCAAACTAAAATGTGTTTGTTGTTTACTTTGTTTTCCTGTTGTTGTAAGTCAGAAACCAGACAGTATAATACTCTTAATACATGTAGAATATGTTCTGAATATAGTACTGATGATTCTTATTCAGACCTAAAGTTACTATGTGATTTCTGTAGTTAATGTTTACAGTTTATGCAAAACAAAACTATTTGTTCCACTTAAGCACATCCCAGTACTGAGTTACTGAAAGTGCTCACTTGCATTGTATTCAGTGTAGGCTGTGAAGCCATTGCTTAGGCTGAAAAGTTATGAGTACATGGAAGGATTGAAGAGTGAAGTTAAAAGTCTGCTAAAAGTACTGCCGCCAAAGAATGGTTTTCCCATCAACATTCTATAGGACAAATTTCACAGTGGGTTGCTCCACATAACAAAGGCTTCAGAATGGAAACACCGATTTCCAGATGTTTAAAATTTTTTTTTTTCACATCAGATTGACATACTGTATAAGCAACGGCACCAGTTGCATGATAAATTGAAATGCTAAAATCACTGGAAAAGCAGTGTTTGTAAAAAGATTTGTTGTCTCGTAAATGTGTAATTAATAGGGACAACAAAGGGACCTCGCAACAAGAAAAAGCACCTGTTACAAGTATACCTGACATGTACTTTTGTGAAGCACCGGTGGCAGGCAGGTGCCAAAAGCAGTCAATGCATCCTGTGCAAACAAAATCAACAAGTTGAGAGCGTTTAACAAAAGGTCAGCACACATTGGCAGGTAGAGTGATCAAACTGAGCTCGATCATGGGGACATTGGGTCAGATGACTCTGTAGCCTGGTTACAACTAGCAGGCAGTAGCTAGCCAAGCCCTCTCCAAAAGATCCTTTCAGGGACCCACAACAGATAGGGAACAATAGCAATAGCGGAGGTGCTTTGTTTGGAGCACTCTTGTCCAAGTTACACTTTGGCATGATACACGTCCTCTTGGATCCGGTAGTTGTAGCTTTTCCAGTTAGCAAGTTTAGTTTAACAACAGTATTTTAGGGTATGAAACAGTGTTATTAGTCTTCACAATGGACAAGGTAGGCATTTGAAATATGTTAGTTCAGTCTTAGTTATTCTGTTCTCATAAGAAAAAGTTTTATCAAAATGTAGCCTTCTATATAATGTTTAGAAAAGATTTTGTGTGCTGTTTTACATTTCATTTTATCATGTATGTTGATCGCATACCTGCAATGCTGGTGTGTTATGCCGAAGGGCGTTTATACAGATATAGATATAGATACCCTTTCAGATAAGGGTTGTTTACTAAGGTCATCAGTCACACATTTAGCATTCTACTTACACCTTAGCTACAATCCTGTAAATATATATCTAAATCTAGTTAAAACTCTACAACAGGCCTAGCTGCTTATTTTCTGCCCATTTTTTACCTCCATGAAAAATGGAGGTATTGTTTTCGGCGGCGTCTGTCTGTATGTATGTATGTATGTCTGTGTGTGTTTCCGCAACTGTGTGGTCAGCATAACTTCAGAACGCCTTTATGGATTATGATGATATTTGGTATGTTGGTAAGTCTTAGGAAGACAAACGTCAAGGTCAAATATGGGCCTCCTGGTGGATGACCTTGGTACTGCAGCAGAACTTCCGGTTTTTGTATCTTTTGTCCTGAACATGCTGTGGTCTTGATGTTTTGGTGACAGATTGCTTTTCCTGTCAGGAATAAGTAGTGTGAGTTTGGTCCCCCTAGCAGCTTGTTCTGGAACTGCAGGGCACTTTCTGGCGAAATGTTTAAAAGCCAATAAGTCCAGATAGGAACAACATATTTTCATAATTTTTGGTGTTTAGGTAGCTGAGAGAGAGATGTACATGATTAAATGAAAATTATGCAAATGAGGACTTTATTTGCATAATTAATGAGGAAATTCTATAATTACATTATACTACTTTCATACATGTAATTCATGTAACCTATGGCAGGCAGAACATCAACAGATACTAATTATGCAAATGATGACCTAATTTGCATAATTTATGCAAAAATTCTATGATTTCTTGATGGTGAATAATAGGAATGTCATACTTGGGCCATCTGCAAGTTAATCAAAAGTTAACATACATCACGATGCATATATCATGTTAATGCGGAGGTAATTTGCATAATTAAAGAGGAAATTTACATGTACATATCAAGCCCATATTTCACGGAGGTATGAGGTCTCGGAATTCTTGTTTCTATTTGAAACAATACGTCTAATGAATCTAAATGTCTATTTCTCTTACCAGGAAAAAAGCGAAATGTTGGCAGAGAAGTTAAGCATGTACGCTGTGTACGGACTTCCCAAGCTGCCCTCCCTCATCTGGTTCTACAACAGAGACGAGGATGAGTCCATCTATGAACTGGTGAGTATCACACACCTTGCATGTGGCAGCTTGTCCCAAAGAAGTTGTTTTGAAGACCTACATTTACTGTAACTTTAATCATGGGAGGATTAGGGTTGACACATTCTTAGTTACACACAAGTTCCTAGCTATCTTATGCTAATGTTTTCTCAGACTTCTAGTTATGTTATTGAAGCTTACCTTACTTAACATTCCCGCTGCAAAGTTGCAATATAGGTCTAGCAAACTTAGCTGTAAAAATTAAGCTCTAAAGCAGTGTTTCTCTCAATTTGTTCAAATTTGTTGAACCATTTGTTTCTGTTGGTACAGGAAAGCTCATGGACAGAGATAGTTGAAGACAAAAGCACCATGACTAAGAAACAGATGGGACAACAGGAGGCCCTGTGGGAGCTGGTGTCGACTGAAGTGTCCTACATCAAAGGCATTCGAGTAGTCGTTGATGTAAGGACCCGTTCTATTGGCTGAATTATATGCACCTTAACTTCTCAAGTACCATAGCATGTCTCAGTCAAGTTATTTACAGTCCTGTATTTGGATCTTGGGTTTTGACATTTTTAGGTGGAAAAAGCTTGTCACACTGTGTTAGGATTAACGTAGACTTGCTGATAGTGGAGTTTTTAATGTCATCATATAGTACTGATGTACTAATGTGTTGTTTCTCCCTCCTACAGTTGTTCATGTGTTGCCTGATCAACCTCCAGAATGAAGCACTTCTTTGTGAGGTAAGATATGTCTCTGGTTATTTGGTCAGTTGTTTCAAAAAGTTAAGAGTTTTAATGTTTATTTTTGGTAGAATTACATGTCAAGTAATTACTGAGTTAATCTGTCAGTACATTTTCACATGTAGACCATTTAAGTTAAGTTTTATGTTTCCATTTTCACACAGATTGACACAGAGAAGCTGTTCAGTAACATCCAGGAAGTGGAGCAGTGCAACAGTGCGTTTTGGCAGGATCACATGTGTCACGTGGTCACCAAAGCACGGCAGAGACGGGAACCACTCAAACCCTCCGACATGGAGGAGGGCTTCCTTGAGGTACTACAGCAATCACTAAGCTCCCTATCCCATACTAGCCACCCGCTCTTTATTAGTTAGGTTAACCCTATGAAAGTGTAGTTATGTACTTAGTAGATGCCATACTTTATACCCTGTACAATTGTTGTGCAATAAATTTATAGAAAGACTTTGATAATTGAGTTATCATTGATAAATTGAGACCTTTCCAACATAAACAGATCTTTTGTATTTTCTCTGAAATAAACACTTACTAGTATTAATGTTATGATTGTATCTTTCTTCTAGTTTGAGGAGATGTTCCAGCCATATGTGAAGTACTGTATGGAGGAGGAAGCCTGTGTTGCATACATGAAGGACAAGTTTCGGGACAATGATCTCTTCAAGCAGTATGTAGAGGTGAGTTTGACTTACTGTCTTTGACTTACTACATCATTGAGCATGATCTACATGTAGTTGAAATGAATTTTGTTAGGATTTATATATGAGATTTTAAACAGTGACAGAAGTAGGAAGAAGTTTTTGTCTGTATCCTTACCTTGGACATGATTTAGTAAAACAAATTTTGTTCGGATTTTACACACTGGCAGAAGAAGTTTTTGTCGGTATTCTTCAAGTTACATATTTTCTTCAATGGATGAACTTCGTGTGTTCCAAACCTAGTGGGGAGAGAATCAGAAGCAGTGCCAGAGACTGAAGCTAGGAGACCTGCTGGTGAAACCCATGCAGAGAATCACCAAGTACACACTGCTGCTCAAGGCCATTCTCAAGAAGACAGAAGAGCCCAGCGAAAGAGAGAGTCTGGTCAGAATGGTGAGTAGATTCTGTCTACAGTCGATATCCTTTCCATCATTTTTGGCTTTGTAAAGAGTTTCATCATTTGCCAGATGCTCAATGCTTGTTTTGACTCTTAGATGATAGGTGTCAAACCTGTTGCTAGGTGTTTGGCAAGTTCTTGCTTGAAAAAGACAATTGTTTTATGTAAGTTGAGTTCTTCAATACTCCCTTTTATTTACAGATTGACAAAGTGGAAACGTTTGTGACCAAAGTGAACACCACCTTGCGGCAGAGACATGAACAGCAGCGTCTTGCCAACATCATCGCTCGGATCGAGTCCTACGATGCAGTGGAGCCTGGTAGTGATGAGGTGGACAGGCTTCTGGGAGAGGTATGGATTTCCAGATGGATTGATCTTATTTTCTAAACATAAAGTAGCCAAAGGGTGTTGAAATTGATAGTATTTTGTAGAAAGCTTAAGCAAAGGTGTGGCGACACAGAAGTACCTATTAATCTCAAAAGTGTGTGCGAGTGTGTGAGTGAGTGAGTGAGTGAGTGAGTGAGTGAGTGAGTGAGTGAGTGAGTGAGTGAGTGAGTGAGCTTGCAAGTGAGTGAGCTTGCGAGTGAGTGAGCTTGTGAGGGTGCGAATGAGTGGAAATATACATTTTGTACAGTCTTAATTCATTCTTTAAGTTCTTTGCGTTTTAATAGACAGAGCTAACAAGCTGCATCACCTGTTGTTTCAGTACTGCCATATTGACCTGACTGCTCCCATGCCCGGTGCCGGGATGAAGGACAAGAGGTACCTGCTGTACGAGGGAGGGATGAAACTGAAGGATGGGAAGGATAGTAAGGTCGACGTGTACGGCTTCCTCTTCACCGACATGCTGCTCATCACCAAGCCCATCAAACGGGGAAGCGAGAAGTTCAAAGTCATCAAACAACCCATGATCATGGACCGTATCGAGTTGAAAGAACTGAAGGATCCCGGGAGTTTCCTGCTGGTGTATCTGAACGAGTATAAACTGGCGACGGCGGCGTACATGATGCAGGCTGGGACGCCAGGACAGGGGAAGACGTGGATCGAGGCGATTCAGGAACGCCCGCAAGAACTACGAGACTCTGTGCCTCCGGACCAAGTGTGCGCGTACAGACACTATGACCTTAGTCACAAGCACTGAGGAGGAGAACGTGTACAACGTGGAGTCTGATTCGGACGAGTTCGATTTCCAGCTCATACCGGAATCCCCCCCGTCGAAGGCTAAACGGAACAGCCTCACGCCCAATGCAGAGGTCACCAACCCCAGTGTGGTGGTGACAGGTACCGATGTAGACATCCCGGACTCTGACACAGTGGAGACTGCAGTCACACGCCCTCAGGACCTGCCCATGGACACTCACCAAGAGATTCCCTCTATACCGTCTCCAACATCCCCAGTTCGCAGACGACCTCCTGTATCGAAAAAGCCCAGCATTTCGCCCAGAAGTGTGCCCAGTATCCAGGAGTGTGAGGCACAGAGTGCTGAATACGCGATGTACCCATCGGCAGAAAGTGCTGCAGAGATGAAGATACACCTAAGAGGGTCAGAAGTGTTGCCCAACTCACCACCGAATCCTAAGATCCCCTTTACAAAGGAGCTGAGATCCGGTACGGACAGTATAGGCAGGCCTCCCACAACATCAGGACGGAGATCACTTCCCTCTGCACAGTTCTTCCCTGACGAAGCCACAAACCCAACCGGGGCTATGCAGTACATACAGCAAAGTGCAAACCATTCAGAACTGAAAACGTACACGACGATCGGGACGATACGACAGGTGCAGGGACGAAGCAGCTCAGTCCGGTACACGGAGGAAGAGAAGGCGGATGTCCAGGTGGACGTCAGACGCAGCAGTAGCGACTCAAGAGTCGACCCACGGACCAGAATGAAAGACAAGTCCAAGTCTACGTCTGATCTCAGCCATACATTAGAGAGTGCAGAGGAGGAGTATGTGGACAATAACGCCAACATGCACTCAGACTCACATATAAGGGCTTCTCAAACAATGGGGGACTTGAAGGATGGGATTGCATCAGTACCGGCACCAGTGGCGCCGGCAAGAACCAGACGGAAGTGGTCCAGAGAGGAGCTGGCACGCATCAAAAGAGATCTCTTCATGAGCACAACAGTCACGGCATCGTAAGTAACTGGATATCTACTTTTTGAGTGTGAGATTTTTAAGTTTAGTTGAAGCTACTGATAAGCAATGACTGCACACCTCACTTGTGCCATGCTAGTTGGTTCCTTTTCTGTCTTTGAAGGTATGTATAGTCTAAACTCAAAAAGTCTTTTCGCTGATTTCTTCATCAAAGATTTGTTGCAATCTTTCACAAACATTCATGCAGGATTGCAAAAGATTGTTAATATTTTGCATGCTGTTAGCTTCTTTTCCTACAGTTATTGACAACTTGATCTTTCTCTCCACAGGCAAGTCTGAAGTTCTGTTGCCCATCCTCTTCATCACCACACATGAAATGCAGACCAGCAGGAGGACATACCCATGTTTACTACAACATCAGGTGGCCAAATGCAGTTCAGATGTCACACAACAAGGGAGTGCAGTCAGTACTAGAATATGGCTGTTGTTAGTTACTAGTATACTATCATATTGCTGCAAAAATACAACACAGTTGAACACACTGTTTTTATATCCATGATGTGAAAATGAGGAACAAAACTACTGGGTATTCAAGACAGGACAGAAGTAACATAAACACCAATGGAACACCCAAACCTAGAAGGTTAACTGTGGTTTATTCACTGCTTATTTCCAATGACTTAGACAACCCCTTTAAAAGCATAGATAGGGTGACATGGTAGATGCTGTACAAAAGTGTGTAGGCTGTTAAGGTGACGTACATGTAGTGTGTTTTACACTTACCTGTCAGTCATGAAAGTGACTTGCTATTTCCATAAGAGTTATTCCTCTATGGTGAAAGCTTAAGCTATCCCAGTGTAACAGAACAAACACAGCATTTCATCATATACTGTAGAATTATCAACAAGAGCTAGTATAGATCCTGCTCGCTTATTTCTCTATTGTCCTCAGTGTTTTAGTTTTGAGTGGGTATATACATATCCCTAGAATTAATGTACTCAAGTATTTGGCTGTGGCCAGCTATCCTTGTTCAATTCAGAAGTTTTTCTATGACTGGGTGTTCATATTCTGTTGTTGCAACTTTTACAAAACTGTGGTATCTCTGCCCTATCTTGGTGATAGTCAAACTGACATGACCTGTTTCCACAAAGTAGAATTGACACAAAAATTATGTTTTTATGTACAGCAGTGTGTGAAAATGGCTACTGTCTAATCTACATTTCCAATGGGAAAGTTATGTCCTAAATAGTGGGATAGACAGTGAAACAGAGGATGTCTAAATGTTGTCAACATTATTGTTGTGTGCTGTTGAATTTTGTGGTGCTACAAGTGTTTGTGTTCCAGACAATATACTCTTTGTAGTTTTTTGTTTATATTACGTCATATGGTTCAGTGGGTAACGCATGGTGGGAGGGGAGGTTGAAATAAAAATACTGATGGAAAATAGCCACAATATCTTACAACACATCAGGAAAATCAGACAAACTTCTGTAAAGTAAAAGAGTGTTCATGACTTTTGAAAGTTTTCACTGCTGTAAATATGTAAATAAAGTGTCTGTATAAAGTGGAGACAACGTAATATAATTTGAGGTGGCAGAAAACATATTAGTCTGATTAAATGAGAATGATTTAATTTATTAAAGTTTCTTACAAAATGCATTTTGGAACTGGCTTTTAACAGATGAATGATGAACATTGATGTATGTTTTTCTGCTGTCTGAATTGAAAATCGGTGTAGGTGTTGAGTATGGTTGCTGACTAAATGTTCTCAAGGAAATTTAAATAATGCTCTGACATTGTATAGTGTGGAGCTTCTACTATACTTTGAGCAGTCATGACATGAATTGATACACCCTATAGGAATAATTGACATTCAAAATCTCTGTGTGATAATTAAACACCAAACCAAGTGCTAAACAGTCATTTCAATGATCATTGAGAGGAAATATCCAGAATCAGGCTTGAGTTTGCTATTATGTAACTTCCCATTTTCTACTGTTAACCTTTTTCATCTAAGCTACTGTTGAAACATGTAATAGTCCCCTGGGAAGAAAAGTGTTAAATCTACAGCCTTGCTGGAGCTGTTTAGTATGTACTATTTTTGTTTTGTCCACAATAGGACACAGAATGTTAGGAGCCATGTATACTGTACTATTTCTTCATCTTCTTGGTGATAAAGTCTTGTTCAGGTATGAAAAGAACAAATCATGTACATATATTGTAGAACTTTATTAAGGTCTGGGACCATACATATATATATATATTGTATTGTCTGTTGCATTTTGTTTTCGAGTATGATATTATGAAAAGAGTACCTTATTTTATTCTTCCATTGTACCTGTTTTCCGCATGTCTTGGCACTGTATTTTGTATGGTGTGGCTTATTTGGGAGTTGAACATTATACTTGCACTTGATGAATTACCAAGCAGAAATTTTAGTTTCTTCCATCAAGCAAATCAAGATCATCAAATTGATGATGACACGATGAAGTTGACATTATTTCTGGCATGCAGTAAGGAAAGATTTTATGAAACAATTTGTGATTTATTAAAACAGTGTTGATTGCCCAATGAAAAAGTACTGCTTCAGTTGTATGGAAATCAGATGTGACCAAATCCATTCCATTAGAAGACAGATGTGTATATATAGTTGTATTGAGACATAATGAAAGGAACTGTGGAATACTAAATCAGCAATGCTGTAAGTTGATGATTTAATAAAAGTGTGGTTTAACAATTGGACACTGTGTGTGAGGCCTCCTGTTTTTATTTACCATTACTTATTAAGGATTCCATACATTATAATTCACAATGATTTTGTTGTGAGAATCTTCAGCTGTTTATCAAATATTCTGACTAATCATCTTTGAGTATAACTGAATGATTCCATACAAATATATTAACTGTAACAAATATGATGACTATAGCAGCTTACTTGGGAAAGAGGAGGTGGTATGTACGTGCTAAGCACATACATGTATGCCTGCTATAATGTAAGAATACTTGTGTTCCAGGACGCAAGAAAGATAAAATACTTGTCCTTTGGTACTAATAGTTCAGTTGAAGCTACAGCCCAGTCAATCAGAACCATACGTCCGTCCCACAAATGGCAAGTCAGTTTTAAGAATACCGATTTGTCATTGGTCATTCAGAACCAAAATTCTGACTGACCAATTCTTAAATCCACCAAGCAGTGTTTGTCAAACAGTTGTTGCTTTATAGTGCAATCTACAACAGCCCTGCAAAAGTCCAAGCTAGGGATCATGTATTTGTGTGTAAGGGTTTAATGAGCAATTCACACATTATAATTCAGCACACACTCCACACACAGACACCCTTCTTGTCGATGTGCCATTCAGCACCAAGGACAGGGTCGTCAGTCTCATTTGTATGTCGCAGACAGATAAATAACACCAACAAGCCTACTGTCCCTGTCCTTGGTGCTGAACGCTACATCAACTAGATTTCCCCAATCCTCCTCTTGTCCTTCAGAACGGCGCAGGTGGGCGTTGTTGCTATGGCAACGGCGGGCCGCACATGCATTTAGAAGAGTCTGCAAAGCCTGAAGACGTAAAAAAATCTGCATTTAGATTACCTGTTCCTTGTAGCCGATATGCTTTGAAAGTTTCACTTTGATGTTCGCCTCCCAACAAAAGACTACTTTTCTATGAAAACAAAATTACATTTGATATGCATCACAATGCTTTTCTTCTTTTCAGACTAATCATTGTGTTATTCTTCATATTCACACAACTGATACTGTGATAAACTGCGCACCCCGTACATGCTAGTGCAGTACAGATGTATAAGCAAGCCCAGCCTGTCCGTACCCCACGCACGGGGTCCGGCAACGGACGAACCAGCGGACAGCCGCCCCAGTGTCCTCCTATCCCTCGGCGTGGCGCAAGTTGCCGTGCCCGTCATGACAACGACGCTGGAGTTAAGTTGCCAGAAGGACTGGGAGCGTCTACAGACACAGACATGTACGAGGAAGCCGAAGCTGTGAAGCCACAGAGGCTAGCGCCAAAGTCACACCCAGATGCACAAGACCCATCGACTAAAGGTAGCTTGCTTTTCTGTAGCTTGCTTTTCTGTAGCTCGCTTTCTGTAGCTTGCTTTTCTGTAGCTCGCTTTCTGTAGCTTGCTTTTCTGTAGCTTGCTTTTTCTCTAAGCATTCAGCTGCAGCATGAAATGTTGCAGAATCCGAATATTTTTCTTGATTTTGCAGGGGTTCTAGCCTGAGCACACAAGGTCTTTGTATCTGTATAGCCGGTATAACCGCCTTTCGGCGTAACACACCAGGTTCGAGGCGCGGCGGCAGCTGGCTATATTACACCAATTTGTCCGGCGCTCAAAGGGCTGCCACCCCAAGTAGCTGACTAATCGAGCCGGTGAAAAGTGAAGTTCAGTCAGGCTAGCAGGGGTTCTATACCATAGCATAACATACACACCTACTGGCTTTCCACTGTAAAACAGCATCTCTTCTCCCTAATATTCGTATATATTTTTGAGTGAGGACTGAGAGTAGCTGATCCAGTTTGCCGTGCTTTCTTTCAATTCATTGCTTGAGTCATTGTGTTTATCTTGGATTTTTCGTGCATGCTATATGATCATCAGCATTAATGCCGATTCTTTCACAGGCACTGAGCGCCATGGTGCAGCGAGCGTCTACCGCGGGGTCTGTGCTTTCCTCCGCGCCCACCGCTGCAGCATGGCTGCCACCCTGGCAGTGATAGTCACACAGGTCACAGTGGGACTTGTCCTTATGATGCTAATCAATCACCAGCTCCACAAAGATGCTGAGGTAAGTACCGTCTTTCACAAAACCTATTTTCTTACAAATCCTTTAAACACGTTGCAAACAGTGTTTCTTAATGCAGAAGTGTGCAATAACAATTTCTCTTCAACGAATAATTATCTTTTAGCGGCAGAGCTTATCAATCCCTGTAATACAAGTAAGTTTGACTGGATAGTTCTGACAAGGAGGCTCCTTGGTTCTGATAAGCTACGAGTACACACCTGTTTTTGGCAACGCCTTAGTGGCGGAGGCATTTTTACAGTACTACGATCGCCTGAATTTCAAAAATTTCCCAATTCCTTAGGGAATTGGCGGGGAGGGGTTAGAGTGAGGGAGGGGGGATTTGAGGAAAGGGAAGAGCGGGGGAGGAGGAAGAGTTGATGAAGGGATAGAGTTGGACAGGAGGGAGTATTTATATCTTTTTCTAATCTCTACTTTTCAGTGAGGCCTACCATTGTACTATTTTTTACCAATTAAACATATTTTCGTGCTACTGAACAGGGTATTATCATTATGTTTCCTCTTGGGCCAATCATTATTCAATCTTAACTAAATTTTGTACATTTGATATCATATTTTCCATCAATACCTGTAATAAAAATTCCAAGTTTGCTTGTCTATGGAATATGCATTAAGAGCACCATAAATGCCACTCTTTCTTTGTTATGTCATCACAATAGGATTGGAGGAATGGTAAAACAGATTTGAATCCGTTCTCTACAGACAAAGGAAAGGAACCAGACGAATCTACTGGGAATCGAGCTGGACCAGGGGAGATCCGGGCGTGCGGAGAATCGCCAGACCAGCGACGTCAACCTCAGCAACATTGTAAAATCCCTGCACAATCGCCTCTCCCAGATGGAAACCATCGTTGTAGCACCTCAAAACACTGCTACAAACTCCCTGTACAATCGCCTCTCCAAGGTGGAAACCACCATTGCGGCATCTCAAAACACCACATGTAGCATTGTCCACGATCTCGGCTCCGTACTAAACCCCGCCTCCTCCTGCCTTCACATCAAACAGAACAACCCCTCCAGCCAGGACGGAGCCTACTTCCTCATCGGGAAGGGCGGAACCATCTACCAGACCTACTGCGACATGACCACGGCCGGAGGCGGCTGGACGCTGGTCTCCAGCGTGCACGAGGACGACATGTACGGCAAGTGTACGGCCGGGGATCGTTTGGTCCAGCACCCGCGGGAACAACCGCAACTATCCCGGCGGAGATGGCAACTGGGCCAACGTGCACACCTTCGGCTCCATGGGGTCGGCCACTTCCGACGACTACAAGAACCCAGGCTACTTCAGCATCAGCGCCTCCAACGTCATGCTGTGGCACGTCCCGAACAACGCACCGCCAAAGGAGTACAAAACCGCCGCCTACCTGCGGTACCGCAGCTCCAATGGTTTCCTTGGTGGCTATGGAGGAAGCCTGTACACACTCTTCAAAAATCACTTCCCCATCGGCTACAACCTCGGTACGTACACTCACGACAACGGCCCGGCCATCCCCATTGTGTACGATGTGGGTGACAACGACCTGGTCCAGTCACTGTTGCCTCCGGAAATCGTTTCACGGCAAGAAGCTGTCCCCGGGTTCGTGCAGTTTCGCGTGTTCAACTACGAGCGCGCCTGCCATGCGGTTTGTCCAGGTGTCAACTTCGTTGGTCCCGACGCAGAGCACGTGTGTATTGGTGGGGGTGGCTATTGGAGGGAAGGTAAACCTACGCAGTGCGGGGATTACGCCTCCAAAGACAGCAATGGTTATGGTGTCCGGAAAGGGTGGAGCTCTGACAAACGTGTCACTGAGTCCGTCATTATGTTCTTTTATCGCTGAAGAGGCACCAGTCTTGTTGTGTGTCACTCAGCGCCAAGGACAGGGACACCAGCGTAGTTGATTTGTCATTCAGCACCAGGGACAGGGACAACAGTCTTGTTGGTGTGTCATTCAGCACCAGGGACAGGGACACCAGCGTAGTTGATTTGTCATTCAGCACCAGGGACAGGGACACCAGTCTTGTTGGTGTGTCATTCAGCACCAGGGACAGGGACACCAGTCTTGTTTGTGTGTCATTCAGCACCAGGGACAGGGACACCAGTCTTGTTTGTGTGTCATTCAGCACCAAGGACAGGGACACTAGTCTTCTTATATCATTTAGCACCAAGGGCAGGGACATCAATCTTGTTTGTGTATCATTCAGCACCAAGGACAGGAATACCAGTCTTCTTGGTATGCCTTTGGGCACCGTACTGGGACACCAGTCTTTACAATGCATGTGTCATTTAGTATCACGTACATGCACAGTTGTATTGTTGGGTTGCTGTGTAGCACTACAGGCATGACCACGATTCTTTTCTTGTCATCCAGTACCGGGGACGGGGACATCCTTTCTTGTTGTGCCATTCAGCACCAGGGATAGTGGTACCTCCTCTTGTCACTCAGTTCCAGTCCTGTCAGTTTAGGTGTGAGGATAGTACATAAAGTACAGTCCAAAGGAGCAGGACTTTTCTCCGAAGAATCTTAACTACAATAGTAATAAAATACACATATTATTACATAATCTTGGTTATAAAAACAGGTTCATTATCTTGGTAACAAAAACAGGATCATAACTGATGGTGTCATATACAAATTGTACAAATATTTCATACTGTATCATGAGAAATATAACGTTATGACTAATGAAACATGCAGACACCTTTCAATATGTAGCCTGAAGTGAGGGCACTGTCAAATGTAATTATCACAATGTAAAACATTCTACAATAGCATGACCAGACTTCATTCTTCTAATGAAAATGGTCGACATCATAATTACATTATATACCACCACCAAAGAATGTTGCTACTTTTGTCATGCAAGTCAGAATTTCTTATGAAACAAAGAACTAATTCTATTGGCACACACACACAGCACCCCACCACCCCCAATGTCATACTTGTTATGATTCGAGGTGTCAAAACTGTATATGACGTGTGCAATGTTCCCAGTGAAAATAAAGAGACAAAGTCACTGTTGAAAGGAAACATTACCCAGTCTGCCCGACACACCAGTTTGTCTCGTCACAAATTTTGGTGCACTGAATGGATTTTTCCCATGAGTCGTTGAACAACCCACTGATTATGTTTGTGTTCAAACCCCATCAAACAGTTTCAGAATTACTGTCTCTCACTCCCTTCTCTGAATGACCTTGCCCTTGACACGCCCTTTCCTGATCAGATAATGAAAAAAAACTGTAACGTCAGCACTAATCCCCTACACCGTTTCTCTCCCAATAGCGACAATTTGTCGCTGAATGTGAAATGTGTACATGTGCGTGTATGCGTGTGTGGGTGTGAGCGTGCATGCGAGTGAGCGTGCATGCGTGTGTGCGTGTGAGCGTGCATGCAAGTGAGCGTGCGTGTGCTCGCGTGCGTGTGCGTGCGTGCGTGTATGTTTGTGTCTGCGTGCGTGTATGGTCTAACATATCGGTTTTAGCCACACCGTGGAGGATATGACGGGTCCAGAGGTTTGTTAGCATTTGGCCAATGATTAAACCTCCCTTTCCAAACGACATGGCGTCCCAGACAGAAGACTGTGAGCAAACGTCTCCCCGCCCTGAGGTCTATCTCACCCCTCCCCCACAGCCGAGCGTCAAGAAAGACGGACAACTAACGGAGGAGCAACTCAAACTTTTCTATGAGGAGGTAAGTTTACACCAGTGTTTGCTCATCAGTTATCTCCTAAGAGCACAAAAAAACAAGATTGGAGTCCACTGCAGTGTGGTGCATGATGAAGACTCTGTACGAGAGACCAAAGGTTCAATTCCAAGTGTACATAACCTTTGTGAACTTTATCAGTAGTAAACAAGCACTCCGATAACAGATTGGTGTTTTAGTATTGATATTCCTGTCATACTCCATCATAAAACTTGCATGAAGTCATCATAATAAGGTGTAATTGGTTATTGTACAGTAACGTTACACTTAGTACTCAGCATCTATGAGAAAGAGTGTGGGAAGGTCAAACACACAACGTTACACTGCCAGCGGGCTAGCACCCTGCTGTAGTGCTTGCACAACTGTGTGGCCCAAGGGCTACAGAAATAGAGACGAGCACCAACCCTATGCTCTGCACAGCATGGAACGGGACAGTATGCCAAACGTTTTTCAAATGCTGCTCCGATCCGCTCGGTTGCAGGGTTTTGTCGTCGTGAGAGATTTCTTCACACCAGAGGAACTCCAACCCGTCCGCGATGCCATCGCCTTCCTCATGGACGACTTGGCTGACAGAATGTTTGACGCCGGCTTGATCAAAAGTACTGAATATTAATGTTTCTAAAAATCTTCATATTGTAAATATGTGTAAACAGATATAAACTGCAAGAAATGCAAATGAGGCAAATACAAATGTTGCATGATAAAAATGTTGTAAACAAGCATCGAAATTCAGCCTTGAACCTTACGGCTGCCAGTCATGCTGATGTTGATACAAATGCAATAAACAAACAAACAAACAAAGAGAAAAAAGATAAAATTGTAGAAAGAAGTTAATCTTAACCTTATAAAATACATGATAATTGAAGATACCTGTACTTTGTCCCTTAGTAAAGGAGTGTTGATCTTGTCATTACGCTTTGTTGTAGATAAGCACGAAGATGCCAACTTATTTGAGAGGCTGATCCTTCTGGAGAATGAATATCCGGGCATTTCTGTTATCCTGCACAAGACTCCAAAACTACCAAAGGTAAAAAGATCCATGGCTAGTCTTATATATAGGTTTTTTCCAGACAGATTGTTACCTGTCTCCTGTTACTGTATACTTGACTGTACAAGCAATTAGCCTTCGGGCATGATTTTGCAAATAAACATCATTATTATATAAGTTGTGATATAGTGCATGCCGCCAGATTTTCAATACAAGAAGGTATGGCAAGACAATGGTGAAATGTCCTTGAGTAGAAAGCAAGCACTTTAAAGTCTAAAATGTATGTTTTGTGTGGCGTTTGAATTCCTGCAGGGGTTCCGTGACCTGTGGGCCCATGACCGTCTGCTGAATGTGATGGAGCAGCTTGTGGGACCTGAGATAGCGGGTCACCCCAACTGGAACCTGCGGCCTAAGGTACAGCCATTCTACACACAGTTCGACTAAAGAGCATATATAGTTCACAGGCCTATAATCGGCATCATGGTAGACTGGTTACCAAATCTATTATAGCTTCCGAGTCCTACATCCTCACCGCAAATAGAGGAGGGGATGTAGGCCTCGTGGAGCTATATAATAGGTTTGGTAACCAGACTAGCATCATGGACGTTCAGTGACCTTATATGCATACGTGTACTGTACTTAATACATGTACAGTCCTCAAATGCCCAGGCTCAAGCTAACAAGAAGGATGGCAGCCAGGCTGAAGTTACCTTCTGCTTTAGTCTGTTTGTAGCCGAAGGCGAGAGTTCTAAACCTCTAAAACATATTTTCAACAGACGCCGCAAAATCAGCAAATGGACGTTCCGTGGCATCAAGGTAAATCATCACCTCTTACTTCAAGAAAATTAAACCTTTCGTTGATTCCAAATCATCATACAATTCATGAGTACGGCTAGCTAAGATTTCATTAGCTTTTCGTCTGGTGGGTCATCTTTTTGACACAAAGGAAAAAAATTAGAAGCATATCGGCGTTTTCCCTGTCTATTCTGTGCCCTGCTATTGAATACACCACTGTCGTTGTTATCATTATCATTATCGACGAATTATAACTTTCATAAGGACTGTTTTCAACGTTCCAGATAATGCTTACTTCGCCCCGGAACTGCTGGGCACGTTTGTGGGTACGGCGTGGATCCCTTTCCTGGACGTGAACGCTGGGAACGGGTGCATGCAGATGGTGAAGCACGGACACCGCAAGGGCATCACCGCCAAACACGTGTGCTGCATGGGAGGGACCTGGTACGTCGAGATGGTTGAAGGGGAGCTGCAAAACACTCTGGGTACGTTTTGTTCTTCAAACTGGACGTTTTAAAATATCAAATAATGCTCTTCATTATTCCAGCAATGCTTTAGGGTCCGACAAACAGTCCGGAAGTTGTTGATCCTAAACTGAATATTTCCAAATGTTCTTTGTAGGTCGGAACCTTGATCTTTTGTCACGATATTTACTGCAGGTTGCGACATAGAGAAGGATGTTGTGACGTGTGAGATCAACTACGGGAGCGTCATCTTCTTCAACAACGCCACCCCTCACCGAAGGTGTGTACTGCAGCCATGAGTTCTGAAAATGCACCTGTTAACAGTTCTTGTGATCTCGGTCAGCTTAGATTGCCCTACATGTATACGTAGGATGGGGGATTTGCATGCTGCTGACAGTATTGCATGCTGTCGTCACAGTACAAAGTAAGTATAAAACCTTATAGCACTGAACAAGATAGCGGCGTTGGTAGTACCTCTACATAACGAAATGTCCTAAAACAACATAGGATTGTATTCGCAACGTTTAATACGGCGATGTAAACCCTCTTCTAGCCTGCCGAACGTCTCCAATGAGGTTCGCTGGAGCCTGGACCTGCGCTGGATGGACCCCGCCAAACCCGTGGGCATCTGGGGGCTGAAGGACTGTCTGCCCATGCGCTCGGCCAAGAACCCGGACATGAAGATCGAATGGGAGGCTTTTGAAGCCGTGGATCGCAACAAACAACAGCAAAGGAGCATGGTGGGTTTCTCTGAAACATGGACTGATCCGAGAATGATCGCTGGTATTCAGTTTTCTGGTGCCGCAATGTTACTGAGTTTCACAAATTTTACCCGTTTCTCAAACGATATCAACTGTTAGAAACCGGAGTAAATGAAGTTCTGTTCATAGAAACGTTACCATAGTGTGAAATTGAATTCTTGGCCATTTGTTCTAGGAAAACGAAGCAGGTGCCGAGGACGACTTTGACACTACCATCCAGGGTCCGTGGATGAAGAGATGGGAGATTGTCAACCACAACAAGCACACCGAGGCCTACTACTCCGCCAAGTAAAGCAGCGGGTTCGGCAGTTGGGCAGAAAAGACTAGCCTCGGGAGCGTCAAACTTATCTCTCCAGCAGACCAACTGGCAACTCTTTCTATTTGGCCGATTTCTACTCTTCCAACCGCCTCCTGACTGCCTGGTAGAGGCTAAGACAAGATATCTGTAGTTCTCCGCTGAGCACATTATTGTCACACTTCATCATTACTCCCTCCCTTAAGCTTCATCAGGTTGTCAAAGATACTGTTTACGGTAACAATACGTCAGCATTGTGAATAGTGTGACTGACACAGTACTGGTAATGATTGTAAATTGCCTACAAGGAAAAACCTTTGTAAGTGACGACAAAAGTACTAGTATACACTGATGGCGTTATTCATCCATGTACAGAGACTCGGGTCGAAATTCAATGATGAGGATCAGTGCCGAGATTCAAGTCAATGAATTTAATCTATCTATATACTTTTGCTCACGTTAGTAAAAGATAACATACAACAAAGGCCTTGTCAGTGTCATTTATCTACTACGAAGTATTTTAATACAAAGCCTGTGTGCGTAATATCTTATATCTTAGATGCATGCTAGCTGGCAGACATTGGCTTCCGTGGAAAACTACACCCCATGGATACTTCCAGAAATATGAAAGGATGCCTGGGAGAGTGATATTCTTCATTTCTGCACTGAACATGTTTATAAAGTTTGAGCTGAAAGTTTTGCAACATATCTGCCCCCTAGCTATCTGCATGATGTACTGCAATACCAGTTATCACTGGAAGGTGGCGCTTCAACGCAGTCCATTTTATTCAAGATGGCTGCGTCCATGTGAAAACACTTTTTCGACGCGAATGAAGTACAGGAAATCCTCCTCGTTTGGCTCTCAAAGAGAAAAGGTAAACATTGCTATTGCTTGGTAAGTATATGAAGACTGAAATCTGATCTTTGTATGTGCCAAATGTATCAGAGAACGAATGGAAACGGGTTTTGTTGCGTTGTGTGGGAGGGGGGCATCAAGCGTGCATGTCTTCACATCTTTCTGTTGTATGCCGGTGAATAATTTTGCAGTATTCAAATGGATTCTTGAGTGTCTTAAACTTTGAGTATAATTTTGCTCAACAGACCTGCAGCAAACATGTCGGAAATGGAAGAGGATCGTGCGCCAAAACATGAGGCTAACAAAGGAGAAGGTACGTCATGAGAACTTTTTGAAAGTCTCATCTCTAAAGTAATTTATGGTAACGAAATTATGCTAATTTGAATGCGCAAAATTATCCACAAATATCTTATGACTTATGAGGCAATGTTGGAAACAAGTAATGGACAAAGCCATGCAGTGCTGCTACAACCAGCTAAGTGATAAGGAAAATCAGCAAGTAGTATATATCCCTGTAGGGATTATCTTTTGTATGCCTATGAAGAATGTTGTCACTGTTTCTCTCAAATACAAAAGCTGCCATTAATTTATGGAAATAAACTCTTGCGGTGGAGTTCTATTTGGTAAAGCCTTGGTGCCAGACTGTTGCCAGTGCTAGTTTCTCAGCTTCAAGGCCAACCTGTACCAAGGAAATAAATTTTTACCACAGACCCCTTCAGGGTCTGAAAACTGGCCACTGTGTATTTAGCCCCCTGGGAACAGTCTGGCATCTAGGCTACATTTGCTATTAAAAGCCTTGCTGCCCTGATTCCAGAGCTCCACAGCGACAGTGATGATGAGGCACCCGACGACGTGTCATTCACCACAAGTCGCCAGGTGGCGCTACAGGCCATGAAAACTGCCATCCAGGAAACCAAGAAGTCAGAGGAAGCAGCGAAGGAGAAAAGGAAGAAGAAAGACGAACTCTTCAAGCAGCAGAAGGTATTTCTTATTACAGTCTTGCCATCTGTCTTTGGGACTTCAGATGAGAGCAGGGATATGTAATTATATCACTAATTGTGTGAATGATTCATCCACAATTATTCAAATCACAAAAGCTTCATGAAACTGAAAGGTACATTCACTCACTCACACTCACTCACTATTGTCTGTTGTTCTCCATTATCCGAGGGTTAGACATGCTTGCACACTGATGCTTAGGCTTGATGGCAGCCTGCTATTTGCCTCTGTTCTGCCCCTTGATGTTGTTATGTAGGTTAAGGTGGAGGAAGCCCTCCCTTATGTTGTCCATCCAACATTCTCTTCCTTGGATGCCCTCATTGTATTATGTATAACAGAATATCAATGCCCAAAAAGTTCCTTGTGGCTTTTGAGTCAACATGTCACTCATCAGTGATTGTTCTATCTATGACAGAAACAGAAGATTCAGCCCCTCCCACTTGATGTGCTGAAGGAAGTAGAAGCAGCCAGAACCAGGTATGATACTCTCATTCAGTTTCTTGGTTTGAAATTATCTTTTTTTCTTTGCATTTTAGCATTGTAATACCTGGCAAGAGTTCTGCAAATTATGATTTTGCTTATTTTATTATCAAGAAGTAAAGCAGCTTTGTCTTGACTGGTTTTGATGACAACTGGAATGTCCACTGTTTCAGAGAGCTTGAGATGAAGACACAGTTGAAGCAGCAGAAGTCAGAGACTAAAGCAAGCCAAGCTGTACAGAGAAGAAGAAACAAGCCTGCCAGAGCAGTGTAAGTATTCAAACAACTGACATGTTTTATTACAAATGCGAAAAGTATTATGAACATTACAAATATAAATAATAATCTTCACATTTAAGCAGCATTTTGCAATTGTATATGAACAGGAATTGTGATTCCATTATGATACATGTACAAAGACGAGAATAAGTAAAACATGTACCTCTAACACCAAGCATAACAATCTGTTAGCCAACCAGAGCACTGTTATTATAGATACTGTTATAGTGTTTGAAAACATAACTCATTCTCCTCAATCCCATGGGTTCATCATAACTCATTCTTGAGTTTTTTTATTGCCATTTATCAATATTCCATCAAAACCTCTCTTCCCATTTCTACAGAGGGGAAGGTTATGAAGCAGTAGTACTAGATGAGGAGGTACAGAAAGTCAGACCAAAGTCAGAAACAGCTGCACAGTTCCTACAGAAGCAGCTGTACGGAACCAGGATCCGGAGAGAACCGGTTGGGACCAGTCTGGCAGCACAGAACAAACACAGCCACAAACCTGCAGCACACTTTACAGTCCAAGGTTTGTCATTATGTTTGTTTGTTTATTTCGCCTAACTGGTAAACTGCATTCAGGCATTACACACCAGTTTTGTACATGTAAGTACAAGTTGCACAAGACCGGACTGTAAGGTTTGAACCATCACACAACTGACCCCTACTCTTTTCGATAAGCGTGGTGGGATCTTTAACATGAGTGAGGTATGGCCCTCCCCATACACGGGACCTCCATTTAATGTCCTATCCGAGGGACGTCCCTGACCAAAGATAGGTACTCATTTCCACCCGAATGAAGTGAGGAAAGTTGTGTAAAGTGCCTTTCCCAAGGGCACAAGATCGGTGACCCGGATTTGAACCCGGGACCTCTTGGTACCGAGCCGAACATGCTACCGATTACGCCACACAACCCCACTATAGTTACCCCACTATGTTAAAGTCATGATGTGTGGAATCTAGTGATGAAATGTTACTGCTGACCTGTGATAATGGAGTATAATGTCTAATGATTTATGACTCTGGATTGTATTTCAGAAGAGAAAGAACAGAAAAAGACCAAGAAGAAGAGTAAAAAGGACTCCCAATACTGGATGAAGAAAAGAACATTCAAGAAGGAAAGAAGAGTGAAGGAAGCTATAGAAAGAAAGCTTCTCCTTAAGATGGAGAGAAGGGCTCAGAAAAGGAAGCTAAGAGGTCCTGCAGATGGTATTGACCCACTGAAAGAACTTTAATATAACCAAGGAGGTTTAGTTCATATATTGATATCACTCATTCATAACTTATGTAAAGCTTAATGGCATATTTCCTGTCCATTTCATTACACTGTTTTCAATCTACAGCCTGATCATGTCAATAAAATGTGCAGCATTGTTTGACATAACATATGAAATATCATAAACCCAACATTACAACATTCTCTATATTTACATTGATTTGTCACATATTTTTTCTTGTAGTAGTTATACTGCGGACACCAGATCTGACAAAATTATCAAAAAGTCATCTCCCCTGAGTAGAACTCTTGTGTATTGCAGAAATTCCCAGTTAATATTTGTTCTCAAAAGGATTCCCTCCTAGCCTCGGGAACAGCTCTTGTAGAATTCTCTCCATCTCCGTGAACACCTGAAAAGAACAATGAAAACAGAATTTCTAAGTAACGAAACATAGTCATTTGCCAGAAAAAGTTAATCAAGCAACAGCTACTGGATATGATTTTGGAAAAAAAATTGAGCAACTGTTTTGGTGTATCTTATTACCTGGATGTCTAACCTTCATCAATGAAGCATAGTCATATTGGTAGATGTACTTTGTTCTTTGAGCCTTAAAGGAATAAATGCTCACACATACATGATGTAAAAGAACATTTCTCACTCTACAGTACATACATATCTTACAATACATACACAATACATTATCTACAATATAAGCGCCAAACATAGTAAAAAGTGTGTAGAGCTAACATTGTATATGTATCAGTATCCCTACCACATTCACCTGTGTGGTTGTGAATGCCATGACCCTGACCACTGCACCATGGATCTCTTCTTCTTCCTTTTTAAACCTCAGAGGACTGACACTTAAAACCACCTCCATGTTGTACTTGTAACCTGAAAGTACATTCCCATCATTAAATAACTCGCAGCATTAATATTATTGGAATACATTGTTCTTTCTGTATGAAGAATTTGTACTTTATATGATTGGTATGTGAGATACAACTTACACAAGCATAAATTGGTACTGCATACTCTTTACATAGTCAAAGCCCTTAAACTTTAAAGCAAACTGTGTTGTGTTCACATTTTTAACCCTATTCCTGCTGCCAACCCCATAACCAATGCAACTTTTGTGTCCCAACAGTTACCTTAGCAAGAAGAAGGTTAAAATGATTGGTAAACAGAACATGAACTTACCATAAGGCTTACTCCTGCCTAGTTCCTTCAGCAGTTTATTGTAGAGGTTAGACAGGGCAGGACCAATAAGAACACACATGCCCACCACATTGTACTGTGCCATTGCCTGATGGACAGGTAAAAGTGGAGTGTCCTGTAAGTGCACCACATCTCTGAACACTAGCCTGTCATCCAGGTGGATACTGTTGGTACTGTGGTAACTGAAAAAGAAAAAGTCTTAATGGATCTAATTTCTCAATAAGTTTTTGTGTCAACTTTAGCAGAAGTTCTTTTGTATTATCAAAATGTGATGTCTTGTACTTATCTAAAAATGCTTCAAAAGAATGTCAAATATAATATGCCCTACCTTCTGTTTACATGAGTGGTGAGATATTCATGTATCATTATTATGAAAAAATTTCAGATGTGAAATCTAATAATTATTGCCAAATTTTGTCCAAGTATCCAACCTGGTCCAAACCAACCTTTGAAACTCCCAACATTCTCCCCGTGCAATCCTCCCGGATGTGTACCAATCCAACAGGACTAAACTGGAACCTTGTTTCAAATGGAAAACCTGCAAAAGATATATACATGTATATATATATATATATATATATTGTGCAAAATCTTGAACCTTTAGAAAATACAAAACATAGATATTGTGCTAAATAGTAGAGTTCATTCATTTAACTACAAGCAACTACTAATTACTAAAGTGATTTTACATGAGTTGGCATAGTAGAGGTAAAAAGCTGCTAAAACTTGGGTTGTGCCCATACATTGTACGTTCAGACATGTTTGGAACATATATGGGTGTTGGGACATGGGTGTTAGAACTTAAGGCTGTCCCCAATGTTACGTTTCTTCATCTAATTATTGCGTAACTTGTGCCCGTTGTTATACACAGCTTACACATAACATATACACACCTGTTTCTGTCTGTATGCTGCATCTTTATAACACACCACTGGGTCAGGGAGGAAGACCAGGAGTGAGCCAGCTCCAACTTTAGCCTCTACCGTCTGACAAGTCACCAAATCATCCACACGGTGGAAAACCTACAGACAACACAGCAGTTTCAGATCAATTCTGTACCTTATAGTTATGAAAGAGTAAAAGTCAACACTACTTTAAACTATTACAGTTGCCACACTAGGTAGTTACCACTACACATCCAATGACCAATACACTTTGTGTTTGCAAATGTTTGAGGGACTGAATTGTAGATTAATGAATCAAAATGAATACATTAAGTAATAAGTGAAAGAATTACTGATTAATTAATACACTGATAAAATGAATTGATAGCTTATCAAATTGATTACTGCTAGTACTAGTAGTTGACTACCTTAGTTGATGCTTGTGTAGTGACTACAACGGTGCACTCTTCAGCTAGTTCAATGTCCAGTTGGATGTTATCCCCCGCTACCAGACCACCGCCGAATGTGATGACATACAGCCACTGGCACGTCTTCGTCTCACTCACGTTTTGAGGCAGCAGTAATTTCAACTGTGAGGGAAGAGTCGTGGAAAGAAGGAAACGGTTCAGTAGTACTTAAGTCAAGAATAAAAGAATAACAAGGCAGGCAATTATAAAAATCATTGCAATAGGAGACAATTGTATGATTACTATTATCATATAGCCAGGTGACGTTGACTAATGAGAAAAATTCATTTCACATTGGTTATCGCTACGCTCACTCGATGGTTTATTCGGTGGCTCACTGGTATGTCATTATATGACGAGGGATTTATAATCTCATATATAAACGTTTACATCTCGGGCTGGGGCATTAAGTACGCTTTTAGGTTAGTAATATACTGTTTATCTGTGTTAAATGCATGGGTTTGAGTCATGTCCCTTACCGGGTATGTGTATTGAAGTACTGTATTTGTAACTGCAACAACTTGCCCATTCTCCCTGGTTGGCTGAAACACCGCCCTCCCCTTTGCCTCGGGTCTAGACTGGGATTTCTCAGTTTTTATGACAGTCTCGGGTTTATCTTCTCCCTTACCGCTAGCCAACTCCATGTTCTTTTGCGTGGATGAAAACATAACGCCTACATCACGGTCATTTGATAAAAAGCGCCCGAAAATCGTCTGTGGTTGTCTTAAAAATCTTCTCTGTCCGCCATATTTGGGTGGCACTATTCAGCACATAGGGGTGAGGGATAAAATTACTTATTTCTCTAAACCAAAAGTAAAGAACGATATACAAAATACTTATAAAAGTAGTGAAATATTAAATGTTATCATATCATTTATCTAGAGTGTGACTAAAAACTTATTCAACTGAAAATATACTTTTAGTTAAGGAGTAGTAGTCAACCCTGTAGCTTTAGTGGACTAGCCAACCTTTGACCCAAAGAGTTAAAGTATAGTAAACAGCTGGGAAGTTGCATGAAATTAAACTTGTCAAAACTCAGTCCTAGATCAAAGTTTAGGTTGCAGTTTACTTCATCATGAACCGGAAACTGGTTACAATACTCCAAATCTCAGATTCAGGTGAGAATGATTGAATTTTGTTATACTAAGATCTAGAAAAGTTGTGTGGAGTTCTATTTCAATGCCATTTCAGTATGCTGAGTTGCAAAGATCTTCAATGCCTAGCACCTTGCTGCTACATGTGTTAGTATACGTTTTTCATGTTAACTTTTCACTTTTATGTTAAATAACAGCATTCCCAACTGGAGGGTTTTCGCACAGTGTGGGCCTAGAAGCAGCCATCAAGCTGGGCATTGTCAACACAGCAAGTAAAGGAAAAATGGTTTTGATATGTCTATACAAGGAGGTTATTATGGTTACTAGTATGTCTTTTACAGATCCTCATGATTATAGAAAACCTTATATAACTGTTATGTAACATACTAGTAATATAGACACATTCAATATATCATATATTATCATTGTATGCTGAGTAATACATATTTGAATAGAACAATATTCATCATTCAGTATTTTTAACACAAATGATACAGTTGGTTCATGATGAAAGTTTTCTTTTTTATAGAAAACTTCAAACAGTTCACCGTACAGTGTATGGAGAATGCAGGTAAGATTCCAACTACATTTCAATACATATATTTATTAATTACTAAGTATAATATTGATCTCATCTAAGTCTAACCTCAAGTTAGTAAATATATTCTGACATATAGTGTCCTCAATTTAATTTGAGATATAATAAATATTTGTGAATCTTCAGAACTTGACATCTGTAACAGCAGGTACACATAAACTTAAGTCTATTGAACTCAAAAGCTTGAGAAGAGATGCTAAAAGTTTGATACCAGATGAGCCAATGCAGCTAGCCTACAGCTAGCTTGAATTAAAAACCAAGCATGCTGAGCCATGCCAGCTCCTCTGTATAAATCATATGGGCTCTATCACATGACCTTTCAGGTTCTTTCAGCCTGCCATATGTGACAGCTGCATACCACAGCTACATGGACCGGGACAGACTCACAGACCTGGACTCCAGGTGTCAGGCTTGTCTCAACAACCATGTAGCCAACCGAGCCAGTATCAGACAGGTCTGTAGCAGAAAATGTCATTTGGCGTATATGCAACAAAATTGCTGAATTCTCTTTGAGTATGGCATAAATGTTATGATGACATGTTGTATTTTCTATAGGGAAATTCCTTAATTGTCACAGCAGCCAAGATATTCCCTGATGAAGAAATCAGACAAATAGAGGTAATAGTAATACAACCTGTCCAATCTTGTAGTTACTACTTGTGTCAAGGATGCCAGAGAAAGCATCCACAAATACTGTATACATTTTAAACCTCATGACATTTTCACTTGTAACTGTGTATATGTGATTCTAACTTGTATACCAGATTACCAGTATCCTACGCTTTCTTTCCTCATTATGTAGCTGACTGTACATATATGTAATGCTCTTACCAGCAACAGTCATAACATCTGGTTATCCTGTATATATTCTGCCACTGATATGTCATTACATTATCTGTAAAGAAAATTGATAAACATTGCCTCCATTGTATGTTTTATCCATCCACAGACCTTACTGGACCAGGACAGACTGTATGGCCACTATGCTGTGATGTTTGGTTTTCTGAGTTCAGTGTTACAGCTGGACCTTCATCAGGCTCACCAGGTAAGGTGGAACTCCTGAGAGATATATCAGTAGGAAAGAGTGATGATGACACACAGAGTTTGAATACATTGAGGTGGTCAATACAGTCAAGAGGGGACAGGGGTTCCAAGAATATTCCTGACTCGAATTTTAATGGTTTGTTTTAATCCTCACAGTTCTGAGGGGGGAAATCATAGTTCATCAACTGAGTCTGTTTTGGGCATAGAATGAAATGATAATGATTCTTAGATCATACTGTAATAAAACACTTGAGCCTATGTTATAGTAAGTAACTATTATATATTTGTTGTATAATTGCATTTTGCATTACTGTCAGTCTTAGACTGATTTATTATCTGGTTACTTTGTAAACCTTTGAATGTGTTTTCCAGATGTTTGTGTTTGGGGTGCTGAGAACTATAATAGCCAGTGCTGTTAGGTTAGGCAATGTTGGAGCCATTGAGGTAACTACTGCATATTTTTATCCTCATTCTCTCTCACAAGTTTGTTGTTGAGTTGACAAGTTCTAAAGCTTCTCTTTGCTGTCTGTGCACCAATATTAATACTGGCTGCAGCGGCATAAGTAGGAGGTTTATCTCATTCTATGTAGCTGACCAATTCTTTACTGAACCAAGAATGATCTTCCAGTTGTGAAACTGACTGTTCCTTGTCTTTCCCTACCCAGGCTCAAAGAATTCAGTTTGAGTTGCAGCAAGGTGTGGATAACATCATCAGAAGGTATGATATCATTAATCAGGTGAAATGACCCACTATCTTTTAAAGGAAAAGAAGTACCATCACATGTCCTTCCCTTATTGAGAGAAGCGATATACATTTGTATGTATCTTTGACCAACACATTTGAACGTTGGTGTTTTATGAAAAGTACTCCTAATTATGCATTTTCAGGAACCTGAGCCGTACAGTGGAAGAAGCCTGTGTTACCTTCCCGCTGGTGGACATCACACAGAACACACATGACACCATGTTCGCCAAACTCTTCCACTCCTAACAGCAATGTGTTGCAGCCACACTGTTAGGTTGTGTCTGTTGAGCCATTGGAAACATTTAACTATGTAAAAAATTTCCTCAAGCTAAAGCTGCTTTGGGGAGATAAGTACCTAGTTTTTTCACAAAATTGTAGGTATTTGAGAAAATGTGAAATGCATTATGTTTATGTTTATGGGTCTTAAGTAGAAACCCAAGCAATTAATGAACATATAAAGAGGATGAAGAGGTTTCTGATCAAAACCTTTAATAAATCATACTACATGTACTTTAACAGCTATTTGTATCAGCTAAGATGGGTTGATACATAAAGATGTCATGGTATGATCTTCTATGATATATTCTATGTCATGAAATCCACATTTTTCTGTGCATTATCACTTCAAGTGCAAAATTGTTATCTTACATGTACTATAAGTACAAGTACATTGAGTGCATCCAGTACAATGTACATTTTATGCACAATGATAACTGATTATTCCACATTTATAAAAGATGAAATGCAGGAAAGAAATTCTGAGTCCTAATTGTAAACCACACCAACACACAAATATTGTAAGCATCATACAAAAGTATGAAAAGCTTACTTTGTTAAAAATACAAAAGTAAAAAAAAATCTGAACTTCAGAAAATAACAAAAGGGCACACAAGAAGTCAGCTAAGCTACATTATCTAATCTTCACACCATACAAAAATGTACTTGGATGGATCACTGTATATCATGGGAAGAGGGGGTGACAATATGGGACCAAACTTTCGCCATCTTTCATAATTTTTCCATAGATGTAGGCAAAAAGTATACTTATAGCATTGTGATCCATCCCAAAAGTTTTCAATCCACAACATATTTTTAGGTGTTTATTTCACCTTCTTATCACCAAAGCTATAGTCATTGTTAGGTTTTACCAAGCTCCAAAAATATAGTTTTGATTCTGTCGTCTACATCAAATCATTGACTGGAAACCCTTCCTGAGGATTTCTAGCCACATATTGGTGTTTGGTTCACCATGTTCTCAGCAAAAGTTATAGGCAACTTCGCTCCTTTTACAAGTAGCTCATCTAACGATTTTAACGCCGAAATGCAGACCGCAAATGGACCAATCAGCACCCAGATCCAGGCAAAGAAGAAGCCCAGTGGCCAACCAACGAAAATCAGTAGGAGGAGCCACAAAATGCTCCACATCCAATCACATTTGCCCATGTTGTGTGTTTAGTACAGCTAATGTACCACAACTTCAAAGTGATGTGATTACAACAGGTAAACGGCTCTACTGTAAATCTGAAAATTACAGCTAGGTTTGATTGATGTCGGCAACTACTGGATGTAATTTATAGAACAATGAGTTCCTATATTGACACAAACTCTTGACCTTTGTACAGGTAACCCACAATTGTAAGACTGGTGATTAAATGTTAGACTACACAGGTTCAGGCCTTAAACTTAGCCTTCAAACCGCAGGTTTCTGGAGAAGTGTCCTTGAAAAGTCCTTGAAATTCTTGCAGATCGTGTCAGGAATGTCAATGTCCAATATGGTGGCTTTGATGCAACAGCTTCACCAGCAAAAGTGAAGTTTTTCCAAAGTTTGTTAGATATGGTTGCTGCAGTTGATGACAAAACACTCCTCAGTAAAAGTCAAGCAGCTATTAAAATTCTTACACGGCTTTCTTCTCAGCTTAGCACGTACAGAGTTTCCAGACCACCTTGTCCTGATTGGGTTGTTGTCTTCTGTGTCTTCACAGTAGTTTCAGAACTTCCAGTTGTGGTCTGTTTTGAGTAGCTTCAAGCACAATGTCCCACAGAATCAGCTTGACTGTCCAGTCCTTGTCCTAGGATGACAAGATCAGGTGTTTCAGGCAGCAAAATCTGCTCTTGGTCTCCCACCTGGTTCAAACCGCCTGTGTATCTTTCTCCAGTAGGACGAGTAGAACCGAGTCAGACGTAATCACGAGAGGATCAGCGACTAAGTCACCTTCTGTGATTGTGAGATTAAAACGTCACTGCCCTAAGATGTGAAGATAACAATCAGAGTGAAGCCACAGACACTGCAAGGTAACCTCCCCTCAGGGCTTGAAATTAGGATCTACGCCCTTTCTAAACACCCACATAACAATGTTTGTGTTGGCTTGGCAATGCATACAGAGCCAGCCAAGCTGAAAGTAAAGGTGGGGAGTAGAGAGCAGGCGTGTGGTTGTGGCAAAACAGACTATCACTAGGTTATTTATAATTTACGATACACTCATTACACAATCACAACCCTTTATATGGCAGCAACATTTTATTACAAAAAAGGCTGAATAAGGTATTAATTGTATCCAAATTAGGCTCAAAATAGAAAATTCATCCATTATTTATGCTCGGCAGCCATGCGTGACTGCGTGTCGATGCCGTGAAAGTAGCTAGGTGGAGTTGACAATGATGTATAATAGAAAAACAGACTACAAAAAAACAGTACATGCCCCTAACAGTTCTATTCCAATCCATGCATGCATGAGCAGTTGACGTCACTTGTGACCTAATTTGTTGCCATGTTAAGTCTGGAATTAAGATTCACATCACACCGGTGGAAGGGTTCAATTAACTCTAAACATCAGAACACTTGTTAGTACATAACTAAAATCATGCAAGACATCAGCATATCAAGATAAATATGAAACTTAATGTTTTTATCTAACATCTGTTTTTATCTAACATCTTCTAAAATCATTTAGGTTCAACACGTTGCAATGACAAGATACATGTATCTGACCAGCTTGTGGATGTAGATTATACCTTGCACACCTACAGTCACTACAATTTGAAGATTCACAGTAGTTGATGCTGCTTCCTGGCCACGCCCTGGCTTGTTGTGGGTCACTTATATTGACGTATCCTCAGCCACACATGGGGGTTTGGTTCACCATGTTCTCTGCAAAGGTGATTGGAAGTTTCGCCCCTCGAAACAGCAGCTCGATCGGTTCCTTCAGCACCGTGATGCACATGGAAAATGGACCAAGTAAAACCCAGAACCAGGCGAACAGGAATCCTAACGGATATCCAATGAAGATTAGCAGTAACAGCCATAGAATGCTCCACAACCAACCCATTGTGCTGTTTGCTGTTCACACAAACTTTGTCGTCTTCAAATACTGAAGGTCTGAAAGTCTTGAGATGCAACTCTGGCTGGTCTCCTTCCCTGGTTTCTTAATAGACCTGCAGCAGTTTAGAACCAACAGCATGCAATAAAATGCTCCTTCTCTGCTCCAAGATGGTACAGATGTTTGCCAGCTGCAAAGTTTGGTTCAAAGGCACTGTTTTCTCTCTCTGACAGGTTGTCACACCAGCCAACAAGACTTCCTTGTGAGAGAAAGGCGTTACCTTCAGTAAGCCCAAATATTTCACCGACGCTGTCTCGTATTCCCAGAACAAAAGGTGAAGGATTCGCAGGCGAATTTGATACAGTTCTAAGTCGGTGCACAGCCACCACCTTAGGTACACACATTTGGTTACTTATTAGGCACAGAACAATTAGCTACCTGAGCTTAACAAACTGACTTCATACCAAAGTGAATAGGCAGACAGGCACACAGAAAATTATGGTCTGTATTCAGTAAAGAGACATTAAGGCTAGCAACTCATGATCAGAAAACTGATGCCTTGAATTTGATCAACAGGTTTTGTTTTCAGGGGGTACCTTGGTGGCACTCCTGGATATTAAAGTCATGATATGAGCATCACACCTGAACTGAAAAAGTTTGGTATTTCTTCTATCATATGAGACAGTTTTAAAGATTGATACTGGCTGCAGAGAACTTTCCCAACAACTTTTCTTAAATTGGACTGTGGTCATCTTTCCTATTCAAAGAAAATCAAAGAACAATGAAATGCATTTGCAACTGGAGGCAACAAGTTGCAGTGTTGGGTTTTGTTTGTGGTGCAATACAACTGAATGGTGCTAGGAGTCATCTTTGCAACAAACCTGTTCAATTGCTAAATCCTGATGATATCCACCTACTGCAAAATTGTCTGACATAATGGTGATGTCTATGATGTCGAGGACAAACGAGCAACAACAACACTCATCTTCAAGAATTAATCCTTACAAGCAGTATACATGCACACGACTTGTACATTTCAATACGGTAACAGATTTGTAATTCTATACTGAACTCTTCACAACTTTTCCCAATTCACTACTGACAAAATAGTTCTTGATTTGTTTCAATCAATTACTGTGTAATAACTCTTTCAAGTTATCTTAGTTTTAAAGACTCACTTGTCTTCCTCTGTTGATACGCAAATATTCCATGATTTTGCTTTCTTAAACTGACTTACATCTCATGTTACAACTTAGACTAAAGATACCGTTAATGTTTGATCTCATGTATCATACAGGCCACAAAACGTACATCATGTTCATTACTCACTGTTCAATGTTCAGCACACAGCTCAGTGTTAACAACACAACTTGACTAAAAAGTCTTTCACTGTGTTAACAATAACATTGTTCAATGTTCAACACACAGCTCGGTGTTAACACAATTTAACTTGACTAAAAAGTCTTTCACTGTGTTAACATTGCTCAATATTCAGCACACAGCTCAGTGTTTACAACACAAGTTGACTAAGTCACATTCACTGTTACATTCATTTGTTAAATTACTCAATGATCAGCACACAGTACTTAAGCTTTGCCCACAACATCTTCTGTTGCCTGAAGTGACGATCACTGTGGAACTGCTTGTTTACGTGCAGCTAGGATGAGATCTGCTATCTCTGGAACCCCGATATTGTGTTTGGCCTGGGTGAAGATGGTGGGTCCTCCATCCCTCATCATAGCAGACTCACGGTCCATCACCTAGCAACAAGAGATCAAGATGGTTGGTTGAGTCCTTGGTTGAGGGAAGACGGAAACTTTATGTGAATGAGGTACATGATTAGGATGAAAAGGTGATGTTATATCATGGGGAAAATACAGGAGAAAACAGGCATAATTTTTCTATCATCTGCAGCAGTCTTTAATCGAACGACTGATTTTCTTCTTTATTAGCTCGTACAATTTCAATCACAAAGTGTATGTATTCAAATGTACTAATATTTTCTTTAAAAAATATCGGGGTGTTTTGCACAAAACCTGTCATTCTATTAAGCGATAAAAGTTCTTTCAGAATGTACAGCTCATCTTGTAAAACATTTCTTTGTTCTCCTTTAATGCCTGAAAATAGAAATGGAAAGTCAGAGAACAGTCACAAGCGAATCTCTCTACATGAGCTATGACCATGTAAACATTCTAAACACTGTCCTCTGACCTTTAGATCAGCTCCTACAGCCTCTGCTAGGTCAGTCTTGTTGATAACCAGCAGGTCACTCTGTGTGACTCCAGGCCCTCCTTTCCTAGGGACTTTGTCACCTCCTGCCCACACAAACACACAAAGGGAGGACACACTGAATTGGCCATAAAATCAGTCACAACCAAAGCACACTGTCAAATGAGATTATAGGATTTAAAAAATATATTTTCTTAAATAAGACCTACTTTTTTTACTGCAGTTTCTAATGTCATATCTAAAATCTGAGGAAACAAAACATGTGATTTTTCAAAATGTTATATTCAATGCTTAATTATACATGTAGCTTTCAGTGGGTTTCTCTTTTTAGCGAACGCCCACGAAAGCCCAAAAACTGTCGCACGAATCTTAAAATTTTTTCTGTGGTTATGTCCAGAGTGTGCTCCCGCGTGTCCATGCCAAGTTTGAAGCGAATCCATCGAGCCGAACTTAAATAAATTGAAATTTACTGTTTTTTTCTCTTCTTGGCGAACGCCCACTTTACTTCCGGGTTCGCTGCGAACGCCCACTACTCTTTGCAAAATTTCGGCCCTCGCGCAACGCCGGCAAAATCTACTACCAACAAATATGTTCCTATATGCCCTCCCCTGAATTTCTGACAAGTTTCCGTGCTTTACGAGCTTTTAAAGTACCCATTTTTTGACAAAATAGGCGCTGCGACGAGCTCGCCGCCTCGGCGTATACGTTCTACCTGGTCACGTGACTTGCGGTCGGGGACTGTTCGGTAATTTCATGATCAGCGGGAGGGAGGAAGGGTTGCAGAAAAACGCAAATTATCTACCGCACATAAGGGGAAGAATTTCGTGTTTGTAACATCAAACATAAATGATTTCCTTTCTTACATAATTTTCACCTCGGTTCTAGTAGAGACACCGCCGAATAAAGTACGCACTTTTGAAAACTTTTCAAAATACAAAAAATGTCACAGGCCGCCGCCAAAGTCGGGGTTTTTATTTGAGGTTTTCCCCGACAAATCCAACGACTACCGACGAATATAGCGAATTCAAACCGGCAAGGAGAATTGCACTACATCGATTCGTACATAAAATGTCGGATGATAATGTTGACGCGTGGAAATAAAGTTAAACTTTAATAAATGTGTGTATGGTCGATATTGACACGAAGTTGCGGTAAAACGAGAAGACGCAAGGTAAGATAATCTAGGTCACTCACGTCGCGGTGCTCGGTCATGCTGACGGGATGGTCGCCAGCCAGCCGCCGATATCTCAGTGGAACCCCGGCCGAAAATAAATACCTCCGTAAGTATGAACGCAATTCTATTAAATAGGGTTATGAGTGGTAAGATTTAAAATGGTCCGCAAGCCGTGAACGTTCTTGATCGTCGTAACGTAGTGAATAACGTTACTAGTATAACATGACAGTTGTGCTTCAACTGATGGTCAGTTCTGATGCACTTTCGGCGATAGTTAAACACAGAAATCTTCAACAAATGTTATAGCCATGCTGTTACAAAGGTTCAAATGACACAAATCTTTTTACTTCGTATCACAAATCTATTTAAATATAAACAAATGCCGCAGAAAATTATTTTGTAGCGGGACTATACCAGCCAGTATTACGTTAAAATGCTGGGTAGATGTACAAGGCATGGCCTTACAATGATAGGGTTTTTTGGGCGAAGTCTTTGAAATCCTTTGCTGCCCGCCGGTGGGTGGGGCCAGTGCGCGTGCTGCTGTGGGCGTGACGCCGCTCTGTCTGATCAGGACGTGCCGTCGTCTTGACAACACAACGTGGGGAGCCAGCGGCCAGAAGCATTCAATGCTGGAAAGTTTTTATTCCTTTGATTTTGTGACATGAGCAGTAGTTTACTAAACGAGATATTTTTCAAAAACTCTTTCGCTCGCGTCTCAGCAGTCTCGTTGTTGTTTTGGGTTCGGTGTCAAATGTTTAAATACGGTAGCACATTAAAATTCCCCGCCCGGTCGAACTTCTCCGCCTCGATCATTTGTTGCTCACTGATGGGCGGTCAATCAGCGCGGACGTGGTTTACAACGTGGCGAGCGGCGCCGACAAAAATTTAGGGCCCTCTCCGTACTGTAACGTTGTAATTGTCGCCGGCGGTGTCACTACTAGAACCGAGGAAAATTATGTAAGAAAGGAAATCATTTATGTTTGATGTTACAAACACGAAATTCTTCCCCTTATGTGCGGTAGATTGCGTTTTTCTGCAACCCTTCCTCCCTCCCGCTGATCATGAAATTACCGAACAGTCCCCGACCGCAAGTCACGTGACCAGGTAGAACGTATACGCCGAGGCGGCGAGCTCGTCGCAGCGCCTATTTTGTCAAAAAATGGGTACTTTAAAAGCTCGTAAAGCACGGAAACTTGTCAGAAATTCAGGGGAGGCATATAGGAACATATTTGTGATGGTAGATTTTGCCGGCGTTGCGCGAGGGCCGAAATTTTGCAAAGAGTATTGGGCGTTCGCAGCGAACCCGGAAGTAAAGTGGGCGTTCGCCAAGAAGAGAAAAAAAACAGTAAATTTCGATTTATTTAAGTTCGGCTCGATGGATTCGCTTCAAACTTGGCATGGACACGCGGGAGCACACTCTGGACATAACCACACAAAAATTTTTAAGATTCGTGCGACAATTTTTGGGCTTTCGTGGGCGTTCGCTAAAAAGAGAATGCGCTTTCAGTTATACTTTCTAGAGATTATCACTTAGAAATATGTACATTGTTTACCTGCTACATCTATCACATAGATGATGTAATCTGCCAGCTCCCTACTGTAGTTAGCAGCCAAGTTGTCTCCACCTGATTCAATGATGACTAACTCGGGCTGGAACTTTTTCGTCAGTTCTTTTACTGTTTCCATATTTAGCGAGTAATCCTGTAGGAATGAATAAAAAACAGAAGAAACTTACCACTGCTTCAAAACCTTGATTGATCAAATGTCTTTCATTCATTTAGGCCACACCAATTTAATTTGTTGGTTCTCGGATTTTTTTCAGGAAAAATATGAAGCGACAGGGTGAAAAAAAAATAAATAAAAACAGATCTAGGCATCCTATTATAGCCCCAAATGCTACGATAGGAGGTATGAAGTCAACACAAAAGGCTGGTTCAAAATTTAAACAATGAATTTTGAACTTCTAATGATACCACTGCATTGAAAGATGGAATAACTGTAACGACTAGGAAGAAAAGGACTGTTTTCAACTGTTCAGGGCAAAATATGAGCATTTTGCAGTTGATTCTGAAATTTTTTTTTTTTTTGCAAATCAGGAAAAAATGAAGAGGCGAATCTGAGAACCAACAAATTAAATTGGTGTGGCCTTACAAAGATAAAAAAAACTCTGATAAAAATACATGCAATGTTTCTGGAGCATAACTGAAGGCTGCTTTCAGTCAGTTCAAATCTCCCACTTTGGTACGGCCTGGCCAATGATACCCCCTCAGGGCAGAAAGTTTTGTGGTCGTTTGATTTTTGTGGTTTACTTGGTGACCTCTTACTCAAAATTCATAACACAGCAAATACTGGGTATGTCCTTTAAAATTCTGCTGTACTACAGACTTGTTTCAACTGCAAACTTTAATTTTCAGTTGTAGTACATCGGTCTAAGAAAAATGTTAGCTGAAGGACTGACTTCTCTGATAGCTGCATGTGGACATCCTCCTGTCTCCACTGCTCTCATCCTCTCCTCTGGGAGAGCCTTGTTCTTCACCAGAAACTCCCAATCTTCCCTGCAACATATTCAACACCCTGTCCATTCTACTATTCAATAGATTAATTGAGAAATGTAATGAAGAAGAACAAGAAGGTCTCTCATTTCTATATCATGGCTCACCTGACCTGGTAACACCTCTCCTTACGGACTTCAGGAAGAATAGTTACTGTATAAAATTCATGTCGAACACTCATACAATGTAGATCTAGAGATCTTTATCAAACAAACAAACAAACAAACAAACAAACAAACAAACAAACAAACAAACAAACCTGGTGAAGATGTCATTAGTGACTACACAGATGTTGTGAGCCTCCCTCAGGTGTTTACACAGGGCCAGAACCAGGGCTGTCTTCCCTGAGCCAACAGGACCTCCTATGCCTACTGTGTAGGCTCTCTGTCATATCACAATCAGGACACTGTCAAGTTCATGATTCACAAGCCCAACAATAATGAGTACCATTAGCTTTATCTGCAAGACTAGTTGAAATGCTGAGAAAATGAAAATAACACGTGGTAGGCACAACACACTAGAGTTGAAGAGTGAAAGTTGTTGCAACCAAGTACACTTGGGACATCCTATTAAACTAGATAGCTCTAGATAATGATTAATTAGATGTGCAAAAGGCAGTGTGACAGGTACTTCAGAATAATACAACCACCTGCGTGTGTACACCCCACATGTGGTGTGTTACTAGTATGCCCATGAGCAGTTCTATTGCCTATACAGATATAGATATGTAGCTTTTCTCATAATATTGCTATGAGATTTGACAAGACCAACCTGCTTCCAGTCTGTTCTCAAGACTGGTGTATCTCTGGTTGTAAATTTCCCAGGATGCTCCATAGCTTCATGGGTGTGGCCATGATCTCCATGGTGATGATGATGTCCCTCACTGGTGGCATCATCCATAGACCCAGCTGTATAGAACACAATGGAGTTTTGATAACAAGTTTTGTTGGAAATTAACTACTAAAACATAACAGGTCAGACCGTGTACGAGATTGGGCATGACATATGACAAGATAAAATACTACCTAATGGCCTGACCACACATCATATCAAGATTAACTGATCGATTTCAACATGATTTCAAACAAAAGCACACAGCGACTTGTTTTGTAAGCTGTTTTGCAGATTGTTTTGTTGAGACCTTTTGACTGTTGAAAAAGATTACAATTTAACAAAGTCCAAAAGGTCAGGGACCGTGTCCTCAGATGCCCAGACAAACCTTGACCAACATTCAACTGGACAACTAACACACAAAAAAATGTACGAGCACAGCATTCACGCACTTCCAACCAAGGAGTTTTAAATCCAACATATCTCTTGTCTGAATGAGGATAAAAAATTATCCGACTAGCTCCTAGTTTCGAAGTTAAAGGTCAGATGAACTGACTTTGACAGTTCTGAATATTTCCTGAATAGCCAGTGGTCCTTTGTTGCTGTGTGATCTCTGAGTTAAGATGGGAAATAGATTGAGTTCTCTTTGGGACTGGGGAACAGAGATCAGCTGGAAATCATCAGCAGTGCAATCAAAACCTTAACCTGCCACTTCAAGTATTTGATTTGAACTACCAGGTGGCCTTAACACAGGTTCAAATTACAGTCAGCCTGTCCTTAGATGACCTGACTTTGGCTTCACCTAATGGCACATCATATCAAGATTGATTTCAACAAAAACACATAGCAAATTGTTTTGTAAGTGGTATTGTCAGTTGTTTGGTCAACACCTTTGTTGACCATTGGAAAAGATTAGAGTTACCAAGTCCAAAGGTGCCATGTCCCTTGATGACCCCAACAACCCTTGACTTCCATCCAGGTGGACAGCTACACTACAACCATGTCCTTAGTCCTTGACCTAAGGAAAGCGTTTGACACGGTCAACCACCAAATCCTCCTTGGAAAACTTCAGAAGATGGGTTTCGACAACGGCGCGACAAACTGGTTCAGGTCATACCTCACAGACCGTTTCCAGCACGTAGACATTCAGAACCAGCAGTCTACGCGAAAACGTGTCACTTGTGGTGTCCCGCAAGGGAGTGTTTTAGGTCCTTTGTTATTCAGCTTATATGTGAACGATCTACCACAAGTTGTGCGTAAGTGTAAAATCCATATGTACGCCGACGACACTGTGCTTTATTACTCGGCTAGGCTGTCAAAGGAATGTGAGGAAACTGTGTCAGAGGATATGAAACTGGTAGCTAACTGGTTTATTGTAAATAGATTATCACTTCACCCTGACAAAACTAAATCCATGGTATTTGGATCACCTCAGAAACTACGTCACGCAGGAAACACTGTCACTGTAACTGATGGGTCTAACTCATTTGAGCAGGTAAATGTGTATACTTACCTAGGTGTCACCATGGACTCCTCTCTAAACTGGTCAGCACATACAGAAAGAATTGTTAAGAAGCTCCTTGCTGGCCTTAATGCCTTAAGCCGGGCTAAACCTTATGTTACTAAGGAGATCCTGCTAGTCATGTGTCGAACCTTGTTATATACTCACCTGGATTATTGTGATACTACATGGTTACTGTCACTTTTTCATTGTAACAAAGTAAGATCACAACAATTGACTAGACTGTTAAATCGGGCAGCCAGGATTATTACTGGGCGATCACTCAAAGATCGTGTACCTACAGAAACCCTGCTTGCAGAGGCTGGTATGGTACCCCTGGCTGAAAGGGTGAAACTGAACACATTAGTAACTGTACACAAGGCAGTTCGCCACAAGGCACCTGCCTACATGACACATATGTTCAAATGGCTGTCACCCCCAGTGCTGAGAGTTCGCACTCGCACTGCTACGAAACAGCTCTACAGCTTCGACCCTCACATGCTGGACACTCCCAAAGCACATGTGGAATCTTTCAAGGGCAGCCTGCAGTACCAAGGGCCAGTCCTGTGGAACTGTCTTGCTGCTGACCAGCGGCAACTGATAGCAACGTCAGCTTTTAAAAACGGACTGTAGATGACCGCAGATGAAATGTGCCTATATTGTATACTGTGATTGTTTTGTATAATATGTAAATGTTTGTAATATTTGTTGTATATTGTTGCGTTGAACTTGTGTATGTAATTTTTAATGTGTGCCCAGGGATACCTGAAAATCAGATCAACTGATCTGAGGTATGCCCTGGTGAAATAAATAAACTTGAAGATGACCCCCAACAACCCTTAACTTCCATCCAGTTGGACAACTATACAACTACCTGTACATCTTATACAACCAAAGACATCCTTGCTACAACTGAACTTCCACTTTGTCTGTATTTTTCACAAATGTATCAATCATATTTAATGGACGTATTTAATGTTAATGTTTTTTTATTAAATTAGTCTTACCTTTCACAAAGCTCACTTGATCAGTAGATGCCATGTCAAATTCGAATCTTGGATATCGACCTGCAAAAAGATGTTAGGCAATGAGGTGATGCCTGTCACTAGTCTGGATCAGACTCCTTGGGCTGATAGTTGCTGAAAAAAAGTGAGCTGAAAACTATGGTGCCAAAGGAATTATGTACACATAATTTGCCAATGTGCAACTCTAAATGCCAGTAAACTAGTCATTCACACTACTAGAATTTAGCTAAATTCATAATACCTAATGTACAAATACACCCAAGGGCTCAGCCGCGGGTTTAATAGCCACCTCCTTATTTACTGTGTAAAATATCCGTTATCCTGGTGTACAGTAACTAACACAAAATCTCACTGTACAGGAGCCTCTCTAGATCTCTCGGGTCTGACCTGGGTGTTGGATGCCGCTGACAGTAGCTGTAGGACTGCTAGCCAGGCTAGTATATGTAATTAGTAAAATACGTTACGTAGTACGTAGTTCACTCTGTTCGCCACGAGCCTTCAGTAGCTTCCTAGAGGTTCTAGGTTACACGAAAATGAATGCAAGAGAGGCCTACAGTTGCCACGGCTAGCTCGCTGGCATACACCCAACCCAATAGGTGAATAACCGGTAACCTACATCAACAACCCAGAGCGGTTAAAGTTGTAAACAAGCTAAGTAAAGCCGTGAAAGTGAACGAACGTAACCTTAGAAGACCTCCCCTCTCTGGACTAACCAAGGGTCATCTACCTTTGGACGAAACCATGACTGAATGGGGCCGGGGTGAAAACGTATTTATCATTTTCCTTGTTATACCGCATGAAATACCGCAAACAGCCTCTAACTTCGTTAAAAATGAATATACATAAGTAGATAACCATAAAATATTTTCTATATATTATATTTTCTAATTTCATACATTTGTAGCTGATATACTATTTATGAACCTCCCTGTCAGTAACGTTATATGGACTGGCCTACAAAATTGGAGCTTATCTAGGTCGAGTGATCTGTTGTGAACGAGACCACCAGTGTGCGCCGCCCTCACTTACAACAACAACTTTACAGAACAACCATTCAGCTTGTAATATTTGGCTTTGCCGGAGAATATTGCACATGAACCAGGATGAAGTTGAGCCCACGGGAACAAGAGAGCCTGTTGATTGAACAGGCGGGCAGAGTGGCGCAGAGACGGCTGGCCAGAGGCCTTCGACTCAACCACCCAGAAGCTGTTGCCCTGATAGCCTGCCAGGTCAGTTTTGTGACGCAAAATATTCTATACTCCTTATTTTCGCCATTTAGACACATTCTTGTGTTGCAAGCGTCTTTTGTATTAAGATTTGTTAACGTACAAACAAGGAGATCCTTGGAGTTGCATGAAGAAATGAAATTATGCAGGCATGACTTAATTTGATGCAAAACTCAAACGAAGCTCCTTGCCTGAAGCAAACAGTTTGACAACTGGAACGTTGTTCTAACTTCGATCTAAGCAAGGATAAATCACAGAGACGTTTTTAACTTGAGTTTTGCTTTCGTGCATGGTCAAAACTTTGGCGAACGCAAGTTGACATTTTTACATGTCTTGTGGTTTTTAATACTGCATCCGTTTGACACTCCGTCGTTTGGAATCTAATAGATGATAATTATTACTTTATGCAATGAGTATATAACGGTTTGTGTTTGTCTTCTCCAGCGAAAGTGACCGCAAGGTTAACATTAACGTTACGTATATACACTGTGTATGCACATGCAGTGATCACGCTGCTAACACGTGAACGCTGTCTCCACGTGTTAGTAGCACGTGTTGGAAAGTTTCCTACTTATCCTAGGCGTGTCAGGACTACTGACGAGATGAAAAAAATATGAGAGAGAATGTCAAGGAGCTTCAAACAAGATATAATGTCCTTGGGAATAGGAAATAGTTTCACATTTAATGTATGTATGTATGTAAAGGACATTATAGTGATTTTATAGGAATTAAGGCCAATAATCCTAATCTCCAAGCAGATTCGGTAGGGCAAGGGGACTTTATGTTGGCCGCCTGTATCCATCGTCTGCAGATTACATTAATCCAAGGAGGTAAAAAAAAAAATTGATCTGGGCCGGCGGAAATTAGAAACTGCAGCTAAACTACTAGTACTATGGGGGGGGG